AATAAACCGATGTGAAACAAAGCAATTTCTCTGTCTGTATATCTCACTTAAACTTAAACCTTAACTGATCTTTTCTAACCAGTCAGCTAACTTAAAACAAAGTTTACGTGCCATGGGACAGCTAAAAATATTGCACTCGTGTCACATAGTAAACTACACACGGTCTGTAAACTGAATAAACAGTGTGCAGCAAGGCTGATGAGGAAGAATTGGTTCAAAACAAAAAATCATGATCAATATCATAGACATTTTGACCATATCGATCGCCCACCCGTTACATATATATACAGTAGCGACTGCCGTGAGGACGGGATGCAAACATAGCAGGATGCACACTCACTGATTCACCTATATCTCACCTACTGTATATCTCACCTATATCTCACCTACTGTATATCTCACCTATATCGCACCTATATCTCACCTATATCTCCTGTCCACTCAGTACTACGGGGGGCTCGCGAAAGTAATGCACATGCAATTTTCAGATTAGAAAAAACGTACTTGTCAGTTGGGTCAAGGCAATAAGTCAAAGCGTTTTTACTCTGTCATAGGAAACACCTTTTCAAGATTATCTAGTACATGTTAAAGAAAATCAGTTTAAAATTTACCACCACTGCTGTCGCGTGGGCTCTCCAAGCCAGTCATAATGATTTCTGTCCTTGCTGTTGGACTCAATCACAGACAGTGTGGCGAGTTTATGAGAAATTTAACAAGATGACCGAGGAGGAGAAAAGCGCACAGGAACCGGTCACCTTCTGCTGGATGGACACATTTTAGATTCCACGGGGACGATATTGAGCAAAAGCAAGTGATTTGTTGGCAGCACTTTCTGCTTTTTTAATTTGTGTCAATTTTGAGAGACTAAAAGGGCAGATTGTCTATCTATGGCTAACCTGTGGGGGTGTCGGACTGCCCGGGTGGGGGTGAGCTAAAAGCCTGGGAAATCATCTGCTGGATGTTTCCTTTATTTAAATACGTTCCTGTATAACACGTCGAAAAACCATTTCACAACAACAGGGCCCTGTTTTAAAAAGCAGGATCTGTTGCTGACCCAATTCACTTGTGAGATTTAAGGTACCCAGCTTAAATTGCCTTTATTTTCATTCACTGACATTTAGCCCAGACTACCTTACATCTGACAAGTTATCCGGCTAAGCAAGAAATCCTGCTTTCTGAAACAGGCCCCAGTTCTAGCCAGGTTCATCGTTAGCAATACCAGCTCATAACAACGCATTATGCAGTATTTTACGCATACAAACAGTGTAGCAACATGTCCACAGATAGCAGTTGGACAGTACTGTGTGTACGACTGATTTAATGAGCCACAAATAAGACATGAGTGCTAATAAACAGTATATAACTACAGATTTCACTTCTGCTGATAAGGGGCGCAGACATCTTGAATTCTGAGGTCGGGTTTGCAGAGGTTTGTCTGAATTCCGACTTCGCAGGGCGTTCCGTCTGAAATTTCCAACTAGGAAATCGGAATTTCCAACTTCCATGCTCAATGGAACGGGACATAAGCCCCTGCTAACCTGGGATTACTGGGGGTGTCTTCATTGTAGATGTTGTTGCATTGCAATCGTGCCGATTTACATGGTATTTAAGTTCTGCAATGACTGCATTTACATCCCCTTTTAATGTGAGACTCCCACAGTACTGAGGCTTTTGCTGTCTTTTTCTTTGAACCCTCATCTGCTACGATCCATCATCCTCCTGCCACTTTCCTGCATATTTGAGGAGGCAAATTTTAATCGATGCTTTTTCAAATTGAGTAATTGAGTTTAATCGAGTAATTGCGACAACTCTACTCCACAGTATAGAGCTACAGACAGAGACAGGACAGCATTACACACTGATACAATGTACAGCTACAGACAGAGACAGCACAGCATTACTCACTGATACAGTGTACAGCNACAATGTACAGCTACAGACAGAGACAGCACAGCATTACTCACTGATACAGTGTACAGCTACAGACAGAGACAGGACAGCATTACACACTGATACAGTGTACAGCTACAGACAGAGACAGGACAGCATTACACACNCAGACAGAGACAGGACAGCATTACACACTGATACAGTGTACAGCTACAGACAGAGACAGGACAGCATTACACACTGATACAGTGTACAGCTACAGGCAGAGACAGCACAGCTTTACGCACTGATACAATGTACAGCTAGACAGAGACAGCACAGCATTACTCACTGATACAGTGTACAACTACACAGAGACAGCACAGCATTATGCACTGATACAGTGTACAGCCACACAGAGACAGCACAGCATTACGCACTGATACAGTGTACAGCTACACAGAGACAGCACACCATTACGCACTGATACAGAGAACAGCTACACACAGACACAGCACAACATTACGCACCGATACAGTGTACAGCTACACAGAGACAGCACGGCATTATGCACTGATACAGTACACAGCTACATAGAGACCGCACAGCGTTATACAACAATACAGTGTACAGTGTACACACAGAGAGACGCTAGAGCGTTACATCAATGGTAGATCAGTTGTGCATTCACAGAAGCCATTCTGTACACCGCTGTTGTCCTGAGCTGTTGCTTTTGCACTTGTGGGCTTCCTGTTAACTTTAATCAGTCTGGCCATTCTCCTCTGATCTGTCATTAACATGGTGCACAGATCAGCCCCTAACTGGATGTTTCGGTTCATCATACCATCCTCGGCAAACTCTTGACACTGTAATGTGTGAGAATCCCAGGAAGGTGGCTGTTTCTCAGATGCTATAACCAGCACGACAGCCGCACCATGTTCCAAGTCCTTCAGATCAGGCGTCTTGCCCATTCTAACACTTACAGTAGCTGAATGGTAACCTAACTGCTTGAATCCATCTGCGGTTTTTCTGTGCTGGGTTGCAGCAACACGATTGGCTGTTCCGAGGAGGGTGCTTTCTGCAGTGACGAGCACGCATCCCTGACCCAGTGGCCATGAGTACCGAGCACGGAAGACACGCACTGCAAACAGCTGCCCACCGTATACATCGCACTGTATACATTACTAACCACGACAGTCTTACATGAAGCACATGATACCATGTGACTTACACAAGCCACTGAATCGACTCCAGCATCACAGTGAAGATACACCCTCTCATTCGACCAGACCTCTGTTCTTTCCTAGGTGTGGGTTTGCTGTGGGTACTGGGAGAGGAAAAACAATCCCTCCCCCCCCCCCATCAGAAAGTTTAAGCCCACCCTTTTTTGATGGCTCCCTGTTACATGATCATCACCTATCTCACTGCTCTCACTGCAGCTGGATGGGTACCACACGTACCCTGAAAACGCCTTCCTCCCAAAATCCTTCACCCAGATATATGTTCATGACACTGAACTGTGTAAGAGAAGGGAGTCTCGGCCTGGACAGCCTGCCCTGTAACGCGCCCCACCCCCCTCCGTGGCTCTGTCCTTATCTGCTTTCCGTCACGGTGAGAGAAAAGATGGTGGTTTGAGTGACAAACAGCACCGGTCTGTGCCTGCCTACAGCCACGGGCCGAAAACGAGAGGAAAAAACCCAAACAAGCCATTCCCAAGCTAAAAATGAACAATCCAGCTCTCGACAAGGGAACGCGGACATACTTACATCTGATAATTAGGACTCATTACCATATGCCTTGGCTCGCAGTGTGACCATATGCTAATTGACTTGACAATTAACAGCTTGGACGTTTAACCTCTCAACATGGCTGGATGCGGCGAGGGGGAGTGGTGCGAGGGGGGGTTCACCCCAAGGTGCAGCTTATGTGCTTTCTGTAGTCCTTACTGTGCACCACGAGACCACACAGCACGTTGACAGTTACATTTGGCAGCAGTCACCATCACTGATATGCATTTGATGGAAATGGAATACAAGACGTTTGTGGGCCTAGACACACTGCTGGACATGCGTGTGTTCCCACATGCGTGTGAGACTGAACACGCGTGCTGCTGCCATTGAATGGCTGGAGAAAAACAACACAGCATTCCTCAATGGAAAAAGAACACTGTGTTTTTAGGCTAAATTCAGCACAGTTAATACACTGGGTGGTTATAGAAGAAATGGAAATTATTGAGGGCTAAAGGATTCGTTTTTTGTGCACCATATGTTGTAAATAAAAGATAAAATAATAGACAGAAAAGGCATTATAGATCATCAAAAAATCTGTGAAGGCCAGGCGACTGTAAAGATTAAAAGTAAATATTTGTTTTGCTGTCGTATAACTAGGTCTTTTTTTGAAATTCCGACTTCTAAATTATCGTTTAGGAAAATCTAATACTAGGCTGTCATTCAAAAACAAAGCTGCCGTCGGGGAATTATGGCAGGGGGACCCAAGCCTCTGTGTTTATGCTGGAGCAGAGGCCAACGCCATTGTTAAGGAGCACTTTTGTTTAATAAGCTGCCTATAAATGAAGCACGCATTTCGGAGCGGGGGGGATTACCTCGCCAGTGTCCGTCTCCATCAAAAGCCCTTAAAGCACGACACGAAAGCACCTGTGATCGTTTTATATAGCAAAACCAATAAACCAAAAAATTCTCTTAGCTCTGTATACGATTACAATTGTTTAATAATTGTCTAATTATTGTTGGTATACTTAAAAAAGCGAACAGCTGTCAGCGGTGATATTTGCTTTAGTCAATGGAAAGCAAAGGTCGGGGCAACACTACATGTAAACATACTTCTGGCTCAAACCTCCCCGAAACGGCATCCAGAATACAGCATGCAGCCCAGCCTGCCAACGCAAAAGCTGCATTTTGGTGCAGTATTTGCACGATCCCTGTCCGTCTGTCAGTCATCATGACAGGCATAATATCCGCAGATTTCGTGACGGCAAATCCTAGAATAAGCACTCTGGTTTGGATAAATCACATGAGCGATAAAATGCAAAGCGCTGAAAACTGACGTAAATACAGACATTTAACTGGCATTTAGAATCCACGCATGCAACTTTATGTATCTACGTAGCCTACCTTGAGATGTAAACAATTTCTTGATTGCAAAAAATACACCTGTCGCGTGGTTCTGGCGGAAAAGGGAAAAAGTCACATTTCGGATTTAAAAGCTCCTGCTTGAGTCGCTGTTTCCATACGCGCTCCCAGGAAATTTCCCAACGCAAATTGCAGCACTGAGTAAATGACGGGGTCTGACCGCCGCCCGGGGCTCCGCTCAGCCGGCTCTGGACGCGCACCCGTGTCCGCTTTGGTGAGCAGGAAAGGGGACTTTACTAAGGGCGATGGGAGCTATTGTTCGTCTTGCCTTCTGTGGAAATCCTTTGTTAGGCTCTCAGTCCGCAAAAAAAATCCCCTTCTTAGCTGATCAAATATAAATCTGTGTAGATATATTAATGCAGATTGCACCAAAGTCATACCGTTTGTAAATGACCGAGTTTTCTTTCCGGTCAGTTCCTGAGTTGCGGTTGACCAGATCGCGCACGTCCAACATCAAATGTGTGAGTTAATGTCGCACGAAACAGAAATGTTTAATTCCTTTGCGGAGACACCGAAAATACATCAGCCGTCCGGATGCGACTGCGATCCTCCTGCTTTCTTTTGCCCTGTCTTCCTTGGTGTCGCCACCTCCCCCGTCCCCAAAAATAGCTTCCCGGGGGCGGCTGTCAATGCTGCCCGCTCCCCAGCTTCTGAGGAGGCTGACCGCTAACTGGACAGCTCCTCTGCATAATCTATTGTCTGGAATGTGGGGGCGGGGGAGATTCAAGGCGCCTCGATTCAAGATCGCTGGTCGGCCCCCTCCCCCGTGCGGATTATAATGGAAATAATAATCCAAATAGCCAATGCACAATGGATGCAGCCCCCTTCGCTTTCTGCTATGGACTAGAGCAACCACGAGCGATAGGCTATGTTGTCTCCGATTTCTTCGTCACGCGTCCTCAGCTGTTCAGCTCTCATGAAAGCGCAGAGCTCGCCGGGCGCAGAGCGGTTCTCAGCCTGATCTGAATGTGAATGGCAGCTGTAATGTTTTCCCCCTATTCCATTCGCTTCGTGTGCCTGTCTGTTGTTGAGATTACCGTTGTAGGGCTTTTTTTTCACTCGGAGTTTGTGGCGTTTACAAGTCAGCTCGAAAGCCACTGATTGCCCATCACAATCCCGGCACAATGAAAAATTACCTCCCCGCCTATTTTCACGTGCTTTCAGTGAAGACAAAAGCACAGAAACAGCGTTTTACCGGCCCTCTGTCCTGCTGCACCCCGTATGACCACCGTCAGTGGAGGCTATAATTATCCGGGATTTGAGATCCATGCCACATGTTCATCAGCTGGCTGTTGTCACTCTATGGTCCTGGTTTTCTGTTCTTTTTATACTGATACCGTCACTTAACATGCGAGAGAGGTGATAAGAATAAAACTGTTTCAACAGCCTCTCTCATGACAACGACATGCGACAAATTTATTTATTTATTTCAGGTGTAAGATCTGTCATACCCACGCACACTCTGTCCTTCCAAACTGCACCTTTCCAGAATGTTGTTGTTCCGTCTTAAATTCAGTGCTGCAGAGTAACAGAGAGAGGAATTAGTTGTGCTCTGACTCCAAGAACTGCTGTCACCTGCGTATGTCTAATGATGAAGGGGGGTGGCCATTAGGGGTGGGGGAGGCAACCTGATCCTCTTTTGGTTCCATGGTACATTTGGGGGATTTTATTTGCGTTTATTCATTTTCCACTATGGCAAGGATGTTATGGACTGGAAGCAGTAAATTTATTAGCGTTTTATTAAATTGGCCACAATTTAATAATGAACACCCAAATGCAACTATTTCTCCTACCCTTATCCAATTTCCTGATTCTGGTCACTTAACCTCCTTGTTCTTTTTTGTATACATCAAATGTTCGCTGATTCAGCATTTTGTTGGATTTCATTGGAGTATCTTTGGTAAGCTCTCACAGAGCCACTTTACCGCCTCAAAATTTCAGTCTGGGTCATTTTTATTTTCTGGAAATGGAGTCATGTGTTGATGAAGATCTTGCATGTACTGAGTACTGGGAGTCTACCATGGCACAATGAGTACTGTGATTATACCATAGCACAATCAACACTGGGTGTACACCATGGTACAATGAGTACTGGGAATACACCATGACACAATGAGTACTGGGACTATACCATGACACAATCAATACTGGGTGTACACCTTGATACAATGAGTACTGGGAATACACTATGACACAATGAGTACTGGGACTATACCATGGCACAATCAATACTGGGTGTACACCATGACACAATGAGTACTGGGAATACACTATGACACAATGAGTACTGGGAGTATACCATGGCACAATTTAGGAAAATATTTCTAGAGCTGGCTCCAGTGTAAAAGATGGGGGCTATGCTTGGTTTAGCATGTAAGGTTCCCCACACCTCTGCCCTTTGTAGGGAGCTGGGTCCCTCGCTGCAGTGTTCTGGGCCTGCCTGGTCTGCTCTAACGCAGCGAAAGCTTCTCTCCCAATCCCCGTAAGTGGATTACCGCCATATCGTCGTCCTGTCAGTCACAATTCTCCTGGCACTCCCAGCTAGCTCAGCACGAGCAGACTCAGTCACTGTCTCGTTTGCTTTAGGACATTACAGTCTTCCCCTAAGTGTGCCCTCTCTTGCAATGACATGTCCCTCCCTGCAGGTGGTGCCCCTGAGTCTGCCTATTATTAAATCAGTGAGGATGTTAGGTCACCATCCTGTTGGAAAGTCGTCAAGCTGAAGGATGCAGGTGGGGCAAGGCCAGCGGCACAGGAAGCACGAACAGTAAGAGCAGCAGCGTGCGTTGACTCATGTGCCGACACAGGACACTTGTGTGTTTCTGTTTCCATGTTGGCTTTTTTCCGTCAGTGTGTTGGATGGACAGAAAATGAACCCTTGCACAGACAGAAGTGTACGCAGACAACACCGGTATGTCCTGTCGGGGAAACCTGGGGGATTCCCTCACTGGGACTGAATCAGTGGCTTAATTACAGTGGAAATTAACCAGCCGCTAGGGGGGGAAGAGATCAGCCTTGGCCTCCTTTGACAGACCCACTGAGCCGCCCTCAGCTGTCACCCGTCCTACTCTCAGCTCAGAGAGGTCGCGACAGCATGGCAGCATGGCATTTAGGAGAGGGTGTTGCTGGGGTGGAGGAGGGGACTGTGTTTTGTAATGACTGTGTTTTGTAAGGTAGAGTATGTGCCTTGGGGTGGGGTGGGGGGGGGGCGTGCCATTAAACAAAGACTGAGGAAGCACAGTAGCTAACACCAGATAAGCAGCTCGCTTTATTGACTATGACAGATGAGTCACATGACAGGCTACTTGGAAGCCGTGTCACGTGACCAAGGCAGCGTGGAGATTCTCCTCGTAAGACAGATGGTGTCTTTCGGCCCAGCTAGGAGCCTGAACACTGATAGACCTTTACTTTGCATTTCTTTGGAGTGTCACGCAACCAGACGAATCCACAATAATGCAAAGTTAAAGAACTATGGTTGTATTTAATATCGCCACTGTGTACAGGCAGGCACTGTGGCTGCTGTTAGCATGCAGTAAGGAAGGAGTCACCCTGCTGGATATACTGTAAAGGACGTGGGCTTCCTTGGGCATGAGGGAGATTTAGCGCTGGACGCTTCCCGTTTTAACTCCCTTCTGCTTATTTATATCGGTGTACAAAAGGTTAAAGCCATAAAATTGCCCCGTAGTAGATGTATCACCAGCGTCCCTCAGCACCATGAAACAAGGAGCAGGTCCCAGAGCAGGTCGGGGTCCTGGCCGTGCCGAGGCGTCCCGCTATGTGCCTGTCAGCGCGTGACGCCGGGCGGCAGCTGGCCGGCTCATGTGACCGTGTGGCCCTGGAGCCTCGGCTGTGGAATGACCAGTGGGGGGGGTGTCATACCCCAGCTTCTCTACATTTGTCCAGCGGGGCAAAAATGGACTTTGTCCGCACCCTAGCCGGCCCCATGCCCTGCTGGTGGAGAAACACACACAAACACAAACACCTGCGGCCACAGCTGGACTGGAGATGAGGGTGTTTGGCTAAACTGAGCTGAGGATCCATCTTTATAGAGTGGAGGATTATCCTGATTACCAGAGCAGCCAGATGTGCAGTTTGGCAGCTGTGGTGGAAGAGTAGAAACATGCACATGCGAGATAAAATGCAGTGCCTCTCATTTCACGCTGACCCCCACCAAGATGGGTTCCACCTTTCCACTCCACCCTCCCTCTGCCGCCTGCCCATCATCAAACTCCACGTCTCTCACCTCCCCTTTCTCATTTCCCACATGCTGCTTCCCTCCACTTTCCTCATCGTCGCCTCCCTCTCTCCCC